TCAGTCCTTCATAATTCCCTGTATTTAGCACACGATACTACACAATCTATACTTGCAGCTGATAAATATTTCTGCTGAGCTTCAGCCTGCTTGCATGTGAGCGTGCTGCCTTCTTGCACTGTAGCTTTATCAGAAAGGTACGTCCTGGCAATTTGATAACCCTAAGTAAGGTAAGGCAAGCTAGTTTAGTAGTTAGTTGTAATGAATACCTATTTATTCCTTTTAAATTAAAGCGTTAAGGATTTTTGTCTTTTTTTTTTTTTAAAGGAATATTTTTGCAAATGACATTTTCCCCCCTCCTTTTTTCATTGCCTATGTGGGAAAAGTACTGCATTCGTTTACGTATAAACTGGGAAGTCTGTGGTTTCCAGCACACACATTTTGAATAATATTTATACAGACTATTATTTAATGGGCCATATAAATATTTATCATATGCTGTAGCCCTTTGATCAGAAATGCTTGTTTGAAAAGCCATTCTGTCCCTGCTGCGATTTGCAAAGAGAGAGGGAATTGCTGCTTTAGTGCTTGGAGGGAATTTTGGCTTCTTGTTCTGTCTTAGCAGTTGTAGTCATGGAAAAACATGATCAAGTTTGATATGTCTTTTAAAATCTGTTTTTTCTCTCTTTCTTCCTCTATTTCTGCTTGCAAGTCCAAATAATAACATGCAAATATGAGGCCCTAATCATGCAACTGACAGGCAGAGCTGTATTAAGTTCTGGAGCCTTTTTTCTTGGCTGCAGGAGTCTACCTACTCTGTCAGATACCTCACTGCTCTGTCTGTCAAAGTACAGAGACATCATCATCTATTCATGTTGTGGCTGACAAAGGTGCTCACAAAGACCAGTCTCCCTGTATACCTGTTTAATTGAGAAAGGAAAAACAAAACAAAACAAACAAAAACCCATAGACTTCCTAACTTAGATACTTCAGGGGAAAAAGAGGTAGTGGTATGATAAAACCACTGCTTTCCACCACTTGGAAAGGCCATAAATATATCATCCATGCATAGAATGTTTTGGGATTTTGTTAGAAATATTGCTCCTGAAGAACTGACCTCTGTGACTGGTTTACTGTTTTTCCCATGACTGTATTCACTGCAGAGTATGCATATATATATATATATATATATATATATATATATATATATATATATATATATGTATATGTATATGTATATATATTTTCTTGAGGGTTCAGTTGACAAGTAGGTGAAATCCTGAGTGATTGGTGTTCCAGAAAAACCCTTGGCATCAGATGGTCGTTTTGCAAGCAGATCATATCCTTTTAGCAGAGACATTAGAGAGACAGTAGACTTTGAAGAGACTCAGTAACTCAGAATGCTTTTGCTATGCTTGAAAAAATGAACGATATTTACTTTTAGCATTTTTCTGTAAGATGTTGAAGTATGACTTTGTAAATCTAGGTGAGCCTACTCAGAGAAATACCAGTTTAAACAGGTTTGTAATTTTTGTTTATGGACGCTATCCCTTAACTGTTTCTTGCTAGTTGTCAATCAATTTACAGAAATAAAATAGAGGATATTCATAGACTGATATATACTGCATGAGCATATAAACAAGCTTTACTTCCTGTGCAGTCAGTCACACATGCGCACCCTGGTTGCTTAGTAAGGAAAAAGGAAAGCAAACATTGCATGGGTTGATTGGTTTCCAGGTTTCAGTGTTTGTGGGAAGAATCCAGTGCTAAGCCATAATTTTAAGTGCTGAGTAGGAGGTACTATGAGCTTAATTCTCTAACGTCTGTTAAATTTGCTTTCAAAGTAGCAAAAACACGTTAATGAGGTAAAATCAAGGCTGCCATACAGGGAAGAGAAATAAAAGCCGAGAGTAATACTGTGTGTGTGAGAGGGAGGCAGGATGTGAAATATTCCTTTTACTATCTGTATTCTATGAAAAGCAAGTAAGAAACATTTGCCTATGTTAAAAAAAAGGGAGGGGAGGGAGGGGGAGAAAAATCTACTTAGAGACTTGTGGTTTATTCTCTTCTTTTTGTGAGTCAGCAGTTAGAAGCAGTGCCAAAATAGGGAGAAACAGGGAAATTCATGAGATAACATCAGGAACAGTTTATTTTATGCAATGTATTCATAGTAAAATTTCTAGCAAGTAGCTAGCAACATCTGCAGCCAGCCTTCTAAACTTAGAGGAAATCAAGTGCAAAATTACAGTATGAACGTCATCTGTTGAAAAGACTGTCTTATAAGTCTCTTTACAACCGAGGGCTAAGAAGAAGATGCAGTGTGCTGTAAGTATCTCCAGCTGATAGATGTAGTATTAATCACTAATATCGGGAAAATTGTCCTGTGACAGAGGCATTAACCTTTGTTAGTCTGACCAGGTCATAGAGTCAGGGCCAAAAAAACAAAGCCAGCTTTCTTGCCAGTATTCCTAGGAGTTAGACTCATGGCACACCATATTTTTAGCTGATTGCTCATCACTTGAACAGATGACCTTTCTTAACAAGATTAGTGTATATTGCACCTAATCTGCTGGGAAGAATCAGAATGCTGAACAGAGTAGTTAGTATTTCCATTAGCACTGCAGTATGCTCTCTAGCTTTGATTTTCTAGTCTCTGATGTCACTAAAAACTGGCAATCATCTGTACAACTTCCTCTAGTGACCCCGATGCCTGCAGAATGCTGTGTGATAACTGCTTTTCGTTTGTACTGGGCTGCTTATGAGCTTTTGTGATGGACCAGAACTCCCTAGCGCTGGTGCTGTGCAGACACAGAACAAAAAGATGATTTCTGGCTCCAAGCAGTGATAATCTAAGCATAAAATGACAGATTCAGGCAGTACAAAATGATAGTATGGTGCAGGTTGTCATTACATAACTCCACAAACTAACCACATTTCCATTAACCATTTAAAAGGTTAGGGTAAGGGGAAGGCTGAGTAGTTTTCTTTAGTTAAGGTGTTGACTTAGGCCAAAGTTTCATTTGCACTTAAAACAGCATAACTCAGCTGTTACACTGCTTAATTATTATCCAATGTTATGCTTGCATTAAGAGTTTTGTGAGGTGGGGGGCTGCCTTTTTTATTATTCCACCTGCTCCTGCTAAACCTCAGTAATAATAAATTTGTAATAACTTAATCAACAGCAGTGGTTACAAGCCAACCACTAAGGTGAATATCCGCTGTACTGTGACAACACTGTGTTCAAACCGACATTCGATGATGGAGCTAGACCTGGATTCAAGATGCTTCATTAAAGGGGAAAAAAACTTATTTTTAAACCTTGTAGAAATAGAACAAATAAAACCATTGCTTCCAGAACCGAGTACAGTTTACCTGGACACATGATCAGCTGTTATTGTCGAAATGTAGAAAGAAAGCTACCAGAGTTTTCTGTGCTGCCTGCTTTTTGGATCATGTTTTGAATATACTTTGCCACTAAAGTCTAGTTCTTTCCAAAAATTATATATAGGGTCAATTTGGAATGTGAGTAATCCCATTGTTCTACTGAGTAGTATTTTCCAAATCTTACCCCCTTTGCCCATGTCCCTCCCTCTCAACATCCCATCTTCCATGTACAAAAGTAAGCCAGGTCACTCCTCTGGGAGAGGTTGACTTTTTTAGGAATAGCCATTTTGGTGCTCTGTAAATACTGTGTGCTCATAACATTATAACTGATCAGTTCATTTGCTGGAAATCAGAAAATAAATACCAGTCCATCTTTGTGTGTTTCAGAAGTTTACTAGGAAACTCTTATAAGCACCAAACTTAGTGCTTGTCTGACCTATCAAACAGTTTGTATCAGCTCTTAGCATTCTCCCAACTGGATGAAAATGTAAATGTTAGCCATCAATTAAGGACAAACTCTGAGAAATTAAGTGCAATGTGTTTATTGCCATACTAAACATCATCGATTACAATGTAATGTAGTAAAGTAAGCAACTCATTGTGAATAATTTAATCAGGTAACTTAGTCTCACTTTGTTCTTGTATGTTGTCAGAGACCAGGCAGAGATTTCCTCGACTGCTGTTACAACTCAAAACATTTTCAGCAATTTACTTTCTGAAGCTTTAAAATTGTGTGGAATGCCAGTGGATAGCTCTTTAAAAGCTCCCTAGACAAGCTAAGCACTCTGTTCTGTTCTTTTCTTTGCAGGGCTCAAATTTGGTCTATGCTGGATTGTCACTTAATTATTTTAATTATCAGTGTCATGCCACTTTTTGGGGCAGAGGGAAACTGTTTTCAGACTTGTGCAGAAGTTCAGCCTGACTCACTGTCTCATATCCAAGTAAGACGACACTCATTAGCTGGTTGGCTCTATAGGAGGCAGCAGCTCTTGGCTCCTCATTCCTATTGACTTCGTGATTCAGTGGAGCCAGGCATACCTTAGCTTTAACTAGTTCAAGAGTATCATTTCTTTGCCCTGAGGCAATGGCATCTCTGGTGCAGAGGCTACTTGCTTCCTGAACGGGAGCTGCTGCTGTCTTGTTCAGAGGTGAGTAGAACTTGCCAGTTATCAGCAGCTCTTCCACCTGCCAGAAGTCAGGAAAGCCCAAGAGTCTCTGGATCAGACTTTCTCTTTTTTGCAAGTTACCAGCTCCTGATTCCTACTGCTTTTGGAGCCATACCCTTTCCTTTCCTTCCTGTCTCCTTCCTTCTTTTTTGCTTTATTTAGACATGATAGTATGTGACCACTGCTCAGTTCCTTGACTGCGTGCATGAATGTTATCATAGCATGCATATTCTTACATGCAAATTCACAGTTTGCTTTTCAGGAACTTCTGTGCCATGCAACTTAAATGCAAGCATTTGACAAAAAACAGCACAACTAGTGTGAGACTTGGAGAGTCCAATTAATTTAAAAACGTCATGTGAAGACTTTCAGCAAAAAAAAGAAGTTCTCAAGCAAAGTGCCTACACAGCATCTGCACTGTCCCATACAGCACAGCTTTTCATCGTCATTGGTCATTTTATTTGTGTGTTTTTAAATCCACTATTTTTTACTCTTTATTTTTTCCTACAGGTTTTATTAAAAATGCAGAGTAAGAAGCAGGCTCCACTAAATTACTATGTTGGAATTGATGTTGGATCAGCAAGTGTTCGTGCGGCTTTGGTGGATGAATTTGGGACAGTAGTGGCACATGCAGATCAGCCAATCCAAATTTGGGAACCCCAAACAGACCACTATGAGCAGTCCTCTGCTGACATATGGGCTGCTTGTTGCTCAGTCACAAAGGTATCTGAAAACACAGAAAACGAAGGAAATGTGTTGCAGGCAGCACTTGGAGTTTTGAAAATTTCAAATCTTCCAGTCACTGGGCTGTGACTCCCATTCGGTTCTGTACGTGCTATATCCTTGTGCGTTAAAGGCACCTTCAGAGTATGGCTGATGTAGCGTAACAAACAATGTCTGTTTTGGGAGCTAAAGGCCAGAGGGGTTGCATGATGCCCCAAGTTACGAAAGAAGGTTGTGATACAACTGAAAATAAAACCAAAGTCCTCCCTTTGCGCTGTTAGCTCAGAGCGAGGACTTACTGCTGCCTCCAGCATTCATGTCCAAGGGTTTTATTTCACTGATGTGTGTTCTAGCACCAAGACAGATCATTGGGGAATCAAGATTGGTCAGAACCTGGTAATGCATGTTTTTGAAGATGTGCACTGTGTTGCTGTAGAGCCACAAAGGAGGGTCTGTTGTAGATAGGTTGTAGTCTGGTTTGCAGATGGTGCCTAATGTAATGTCTGTTGCTTGTGATTCTCATTAAGATGCCTGACCAGTGTTACAAGACTAAAATAAATTATGTGTGTTTGTGGGTAGTATCAAGCATAAAAATAGGCTGAAATAAACTTTACTATGAGGGAAAATCTGTCTTATTGTACCCTCTGGTCCAAGGATCTGCCTGTACGTGCTGGTAGTAAAAGTAAATTAGTGACCTTGGTTGGCAGTGCACATGTAGGCCATTTCGTCCTTCTTAATAAAGCTGCAGCCTGCTCCATGTTCTGAGGTTGGCTCTTCAAATATTCATGAGCTGCCTGGTAATTTGCAGATGGACAGTTCACCCATTCTCTTGTTATTGATCAGCCTTTTCAAACATTAATGAGCTTGGCTCTGCAGAAAGTGCCCTGAGATGAAGGAGATAAGAGGTGAGGGGGAGGGAAGGAAAAAGAGGGGAGTGAAAGGAGTGATAGGGAAGCTTGATATTAAAGCAGAGCCAGTCTTTTATTCTGCTTTGACTTTTCTCTTTGTGAATTGCTTTGTTCTCGCCCTGCACTTCTTTAAATATAGCCCCTTGCATTTAAGCAGTAAAATACGGTCTCTGGAACTAAAGCTTTACAGAGCCAGTAAGAGACTGGCGTCATGGCAAGCCTAGTGAAAGTTTTCCATTATAGTGCTAATTAAAATAATGATAATTTTATTGTTGCTGAGAAGTGGTAATTTATCACTGCATTGCTTCTTAGGTGTCTTGCAACCCCCAATGAATTAAGCCCTTTGGCCCTTAATCCATGTGGGTGTTGTGTTTTTCTTGCAATGCTGCTGGAAGCCACAAATTTCAGAGCTTTTGGAGTGGGGTTTTTTTGGAATATTTTCTAAAAAGCATCCTATCCAAACTCTTGATAGAGTTTTTGGAAAGGTGGATATTGCAGCGATAATGCCACTGCTACAGGTTTTGTCCAACTTCATAGAAATTTATTTTCTAGGACATTTCACCATGGCAAGACAAAAAAAAAAAAATTGAACTGCTTTAAAAAAATTGTTCCAGAAGATCAGTGCTTTCATACTGTGTGTGGATTGAATGAAGTAACTGAAGGGAAACACTTGACCCTAAACCTGTGTCCACATTTCACATCCATCTCAGCTCAGAGCTTTTGGAAAAGAGATAAACATTGATAGTTTTCTGCTACCTTTATTCTCAGGTATTCTTAGGCATCCTGCTTTCATCCAGGTCTGTGGCTAGTAAGGCAAAAAAGCTATTAAAGAACTTTTCATGAAGCTTTGAATCCAGTTTTGAAAAGCAAAGAGTTTTTGGTTATTTGGTTTGATTTTTTTCATGAACATTCAGACTAAATTTTCTAAGTATACTGAGTCTCAGAAATTTTGGAGTTTGAGTTTGCAGTTCTAACTTATAACCCATTCTCTCTTCTCATTAGTTCACATGGTATGTGCATATATATGGATATTTTTATATCCAACTGTATTTTCAATGTGTTCACAGAAAGTTGTCTGTGGGGTAGATGCCAGACGGATTCGAGGGCTTGGTTTCGATGCTACATGTTCTCTTGTTGTTGTGGATAAGCAGTTCCAACCCTTGGCAGTCAACTGTGAAGGTAGGACTCCAGCACAAAAATTGATGTTACTGTACATGTTTTGCCACTGACATGAGTGAACTTAAAATTTCACCACAAATGCCAAGTTATGGGGTTGAATCTCGAAGATATAGGTGACAGAAACTCTTTTCTTAGGAACAGATTTTTTTTCTAGGTTTTTACTATTTTAATTTTACTGCAAAAGAAATTTGAGATGAAAATCATTTACGATTTGGCTAAATATTTGACATCCTGTGATCAAACTCATTTATCTTCCCTCTGTGAGACTGCTAGTTAAAGGAATCTATGCTCATTTTTCTTCTCTACATGTTTTCTGCTCCTACTTTACTAATCACTGCTTTTATTATGTGTGTAGATGCCCATCCATACTGGCTAAGGAATGTTAAAAATGTACTGTTAGTGTAGTTTAACTGCTTATTCTGTCATGGAGCTGCAGGCAAGAAGTTCAGCTTATATGTCTTACTACACTGGTGTGCTGTTTTTGTCTAGGACAGAGCTAAACTTTAGAAAAAGACCACAGACTCTTTTTGCAAATTTCAAGCTTTAATTATTTTTTGTGTAAATAATTCAGAAGACTCAAGAAAAATTTGAGTAATGAATCTTTATTTTTCAGAGAATCCCACCTAAGATTAGTTGTGTACTAAATCAGTAGGTATATAGCCATAATCACAGTTCAGTTGGTGCTGTCTTTCTGGTCTCAGATGCATTTGTCATCTCCTCCTATCAGTTTCAGAAAAAAACCCAAAAAACAAACAAACAAAAAGCAGCTTTGCCCCCAAAATGTTCTTTGCTAAATTTAGACAAGAGAAATGTATTTATTTTTCAGTTTGAGGTTCTCTAACAATCTATTCAATGTCTAACAACATCTGGTGCTCTTTTGGTCTATTGAGTCAAATTCAGTTCTCATTTCTTATTCTCTGATATCCCAAAGAGTGGAAATGTGCACAAAGAAAAAAAATTACGCAACGTTGTTGTTAAATGTTTGATAAAAAGGCAAGAACACGCTGAATGCTGTAGCACTGATATGGGCTTGCACTGGTCTGGTTTCAGGCAGTCACACAGTTCCAAGTTGTATTTGAATCCGTGTCAGTATTATTTGTGTGCCTCATAGTTGTGGCTTGTCTAGAGTGTGCCTTCATGATTAAGTATGCACGAGTGGCTGTGTTGTGAAGCTGAGTATGCAGTGTACTCAGCAAGAGAGGAGTCTGAAGTGTCGCCTGGATTACTGTTCCACCTGTCTGGAAGGACTTCTGTAGGTTAACTTAGATAAAATATCCTTTTTTTCTTGTTCTGATGTGTTATGCTGACTTACCAAATGCTGTTGTCTTCCACCTCCAAAATAAAAGTATTTCAGCAATTTACTCTATAAAATTGTATTTCTGAAAGCATTTAGAGTGATTCTTCCCATAACAATGAAAGCAAATAGAGAATCCCTGTAGCTATCTAGCTAGCTGACTGGCTGAGTTCGTTTCAATTTATAACTTAATTGCTTGGGTTTTGTTATGTTTTTATGCTCATAATCACTGAAGTGTTTACAGAAGATTCTTACATATTTTAAAGTATATATGTTTACTTGGTCAACCCTGGCTCTTTTCACTCAGGCTGCTCGGTATTCAGCATCTCTTAAAACTCGCTCTGAGGGGCCAGAATGTTATCGTTGTGTATCTACTGTGGATTGTCAAAGCACATTGTATTTGAGTTTTTTATGCTGAAGTGGGAATGTGAAGCCTCTTAGAGCCTAATAACTTGCTGTACTAAGATGGAGTTAAACTAGAACTAAAATAACCTTTTTTTTTTCCCCTCCCAAGGACAAAACCATAGGAACGTTATTATGTGGATGGACCATCGTGCAGTCAGTCAAGTAGACCGAATCAATCAAACACAACACAGGGTTTTGAGCTATGTTGGGGGAACAATGTCTGTGGAAATGCAGCCACCTAAATTGCTGTGGATCAAGGAGGTGAGTACATCTAAGATTGTGATGCATTTTTACTAAAGGTTAATAGTCTTCATTTGTTAATTTCTGTGAATCAGATTTCTCAAATAAGTCTTCAGCATTAACCTAAGTTGTTCCTGTGCTATTAAAAGGAATCTTAGCGTTGATCCCAAAGGGGTGCAAAGTAAGGCCAGCCTTAAGTCACGATGCAAGTATTTTGAGATGATCTTTTTTCTATAGGTTATTTACAAATATCTGTTTATTGAAATTTAGTATTTCTTGGTCGAAGTATTTCATGTCTTTCTTACACAATTTTAAGATCAGATATACATACAAAGTTAGGTGCAATTGATAAATGGGGCCTGGAAGGGTACTAAGATTTAGTTATGTAGGCATACTTCCTGCTCCAAATACTGTAGCTGGACATGCTTACGGGGTGTAGGTGCTACTTCTCGGAGAGATTTATAGCTGTGTGCAAACAGCACAGTCTCACAATTGGGTATCCTTGCCAGAAGTACTGCTTTTGAGGCTTTGTGTCCAGCAGTGACAGGACATGAGATGTCTTTGGCTGCTGGTAGAGAAGTTGTTCAGTTAGTTGTTCAGTTAGCTTCATCAGCCTTCCCAAAAAGGGCCTAAATTGGTCAGTCCCATCTGTAGAAGAAAGGTACGTTTTTCATAATGTGGAACTCTGTCTCTTGTGTTTAAATTTTGTGTGTTATGGGCTGACATATGGCTATTTAATAACAACTGTCAGATGAAAGGAAAAATGCTTGCCCCTTGAGTTTTTCATAACCTCCTCCACTCTGGCTTTTACGTTTGGTCTTGATGAAGCTTACTGTCATTTTAAGAAAGCTGAAATGTAAATCACTTTCTGCCAGTTTCAGGTAGCCAAAATCTTTTGTCCTTACAAACATGAAACACCATATAGTAACGAGGTGTGGACTGGAGAAAGTAAAAAGAGCTTAACTGGTTGAAGCAGATACTGACAGATTAAGTTGTTTGTAGATGCTGCACTGAATTACAAATATCATCTGCTGAGTACTTTCCTTCTTGAGCTATGAGTATTACTTTATAAATAATAAGTCAAGCTGTAAAAAAATCTTAAATGAAGCTATGGTGTTTAAAATATTTGTATACTGAAAAATCTGAAATACCAGTACCTGACTGATCAGGCAAGTGCCTTATTCAGGAAGGCCAGATTGCTGGGCCTCCTGATATGGCCACCCACAAATGCAAGTCTCTGTTATGGCCTCAAAGCCCTCTCATGTTACCGCTGTAATATAAAAAGGAGAGCAAGTATCGTAGAGCTCTTGTTCCTTCCATGGGCATGTGGGTGGGAAAGAGAATTCTCCTTACGCAACTTGCTAGCCAGTAGCACAGATTCCCTGGTAAAAGGACATTACGGAATAGGGCTTGCTCATGTGTCATCTTTCAGCTCCAGATGTACTAGCTAAAGAGATTGTCATCCTTAACAGAGCTTTTTTTTTTTTTTATTTGTTTATTTTTTCCTTCAGCATCTGGTTGCTGAGCTGTTCACCTGACAGTCCCTGCTTTAATCAAAAAGAGGGACCACCAAAGATCTACCCTATTTGGCTTAGGCCCTGTAAGGGACAGCTGCGGTAGCACCTCAGCTAGGTTCATGGAGGGAACAGTCACTTTTATTATGGAGTTGGTGGTAAATATGTGAGAAGTAGGCATGTTGTGGTAAACTTTTTAGCTGGGGAGAAATATGCAGCAAATCTTGAATTAATAGTTCCCTTACACTTGCCGCAAAATAGGAGGGTGAAAGGAACTGTGTGAGCAGTGATGGTTTCTTCTAAGTGCCAGTCACAGTAATGCACCTCTACGTTACCTGAATTTTAGGACTAGGAGTAAAGGTTCATTTCAGTCTCTCACAGTTGAAATTCATCTTCACATAATGCGAGAGGAAAACTCTTCTAACATGTTCTGGCTTTTTGCCAAGGGGACAAATTTTACAATAACTTTGAAAGTCAAGTTCTCCAAATAAGAGTTATATCACCAGCTTGCACTTATGTTGCTATTCAGTGGAATGACTTCTCGTGCTTTGCAAATAGTAAATTAATTAAGTCTCTTTAGATTCTTTAGTATTAATATTTTATAGATGAGTAAACTATGACACAGAGGTATTAAAGGCATGGTCAGAAAAATACCTACAAAACAGTACGTAATGTTTCCCTCATGTCTTTGAGTTGTATCATCTTTCTTTTCTGTTTTTAGTATATTTCCCTCCTGCTACTGCTGCACAGTTCCTGGAGATGTGGCTGAGTAAGATTTTTGGTCTAGCTCAAACATACTGAGAAAAAATATTCTATTCGGATTGCAGGATTATTTTTTTAAGCTAGTGCAAATGCACAAGCTGGCAAACAGAAAGCTTGGTTTTCACATCCCTGGGGAGATTCACAAGATTAGAAGGTAGAAAGAAGCATTTTATTTTTATTTTATCTTTTTTAACTGAGAATATTTGAAGGCTTTGCACAGTTGAAACTGGAACTCCCATTGTGCTTCTATTTAATTTTGACCACTGCTATTCAAAAAATAACTGCACTATACATGATTTGCGCAGGCCACACATTGAGTCAGTTTGCTAGGTGGGAACTTCATGGGCACAAAGTTAGATTCTTTTTTAAAATGTGGCCCTCAGTGTTGCCGAGAAGAGGGCCAAAATGGGATCGTTATGGGCGTTGTATGTTAGGAGCTGGTTGGCAGAGCTGCCTGGGGAAGTTTACACAGTGTCTGCCCACACTGTGTGCCTGGCTGTGATCAGAGCCCTTAGTTTCCAGCCTTCCTGACTACTAAACGTCACCAAATATTATACCAACAAGATTTCTTTAAAGTATCTTACAGATCTGAGTAGTTTGTCTTATTTAGATCATCACCTCTGCTTATGTTTCCTCTATCGTGTGTGAAATAACTTTCCCTCCCAAGCTACTGCTTGTCCAATGAGCAGTGCGTTCTCAGGAGCTGCTTTAAAATAAGATCCCTTTAAAATCATCCCAAAACTCTGTTGCTATGTTGTATAGCGCTCTCCCAGAATTTTCTACAGTCCCTGCAAATACCTATGATCAGTTTGTTTGTTTGTTTGTTTGTTTCTAAAAATACTCCTTGTTCTTTCCAGAACTATTTCCAGCCATCTGACTGCAAGTGATGCAGCCTGTTGTTTGATAGAGGAACCACATTGGGTCAGACCAAAAATCCGTTTGGACCAGTATTTATGTGGTTATGTGTTTTTGTTCTGTAAATTTGTCTAATCTTCTCTGAATGCACATGTACTTTTTGCATCTACTGTGCCCTGTAGTACTGAGTTCCACTATTTAACTGTACTTTGTGTGAATAGATACCTTTGTTCTGAAACAAGCTCCTAAAATTTGATTTGCTTTAGAGTTCTTGGAAGGTTCGAGACAATGAACTATCATCCCCTAGTCAGCTTCTCCATTCCATACAGGATTTTATATACCCCTTTTGGATCTTCCCCTCTCCCATCCTTTCTTTTCCAGCCTGAAGTATCCTAACCTGTTTTGTTTTTCCTTATATGAGATTCTGCCATTCCTCTGATTTTTCTTGTCTCCTTTCTCTGTACTGTTTTTACTTCCACAGTACCCTTTTAGAGAAGGCAGTGAGAACTGCAGACCGAGATGCCAGCGGATCATAGACCATAGCGATGTTTTTTTTTCCTTTTCCTCCCTAACACTATCCAATATTAGGCAACCCTAGCTAGTGCTGAGGGCACCAAGCTGTTAGAAAAGACATGAAGTTACACCACTGGTTACAGCAGTCAGTCATTGGGTGATTTGACTGGCTGATACATGTGCTGGACCAACTCCTTATTTAAATGGCTAGGGGACTGTTCAGATGCCTTGACTTTGCATCTCTAGTGTGTCATTGTACATATAACAGGAAGAAGAGAGCCTAAATAACTATATGTAAAGTTTTATTTCTTTCATACTTTCTAAATCCAGCTTCTCATGGGGTTGTTGCGAGCATATGCTGATAGTGCAAATGTGTGTTTACATTTCAGCTTTAGAAGGGAGCTTATTTCTACATGGAAAAATTTTAAAATTACCTGGCAGTATCCTAAGAACTTAATGCAAAGCATGGATTGGGCACATTCTTCTATGACTAGCCATAATCAAAACTGAACTTGGGAACTTCCCAAGACAATTAGCTTATCTATAATAAAAAAAAGATTTTTACTCAGTCTAGTGAAAGGAGTGTTTACAGAATCTAAACTGAGGTGTACTTAGGGCTTTTTCTCTCTGTAGGCATCACATTTCTGGAAAACTTTTGGTCAGAAAGCTTGCCATGGCTACAACACATACTGCTCCAAACAAAAACTATACTTTGTATAGTCATAGTATAGGTCAGCAGGTACCCCATAGCTTTTAAAGATTGACTGTTGACTTTTGCCTCTTTGAACTCTCTGGAACTTTTTTGTACTCCCTAGGAATTAAACATGTGTTCCTGCTGTTTTTGCCCTGTACATCCTTGCCCTGCTTTGGTGCTATACATGTTCTGTATCTGCTTGCATTCATGTAGGTTTTGCAGATAAAATGCAGTGGGGAAAATAACTGCTCTATATCTAACATTGTGATAAAATAACCAACAACCATCAGAAAGCTGAATTAACCTGATGTAGAAACAGCAACTGATAATCTTCTGATCCCAGTCAGGAAGTACTGGAAAAGATTTGCCTAACTGACAGAGATGCAAGATGGTCCACTGACTTTTCGATGTTTCATGTGGGGATTTGTCATATGAAATTGCAGTTTTACTGATACAAGATAAATTGCATGAATGTGGCTGTCAACTAAATGAGTTTGTTAAAGGAGTGATTTAGGAAACTAGTGATTTAGGAGATTAACTAGGTACACTTTTGGAAGTATGCCGATTAAAGTATTGATGCTACATCACTTATTCTTATTATAGCTATAGGTTAGTTGTGTGCACATTGTCATCAAAGCCTTTCTTCTGCTTTCCACTATGTTAACCTGTCTGTGGAAGGCCAT